TGATTAGCAGATTATAATTTTGTTAATTAGTCAACTCAAGGACCTAAAAAAGAGCTTTTTACCTGGGAAATTGTAATCTCAGAGTGTCAGAAAACAAATCAGTAATTTATGGAAAGGAAAAAGATGGATAAGCAAAGCATTATTAAAAAGAAGAGCAAAGTAGGAGGCCTCTCACTTCCCAATTTCAAAACACAGCCAAAGGAATCAAAATAGTCTAGTACTGGTACAACGAGACACACAAAGATCAATGGAACAGAATTAAGAACTCAGAAGTAAATCCATCCACCTACGCTCAGTTGATTTTTGACAAAGGGCCAAAATACATTAAATGGGGAAGATAGTCTCTTTACCAAATGATGCTAACAAAACTGGAAATCTATTTGCAGAAGAATGAAATAAGATTCATGTTTCACACCATGTACAAAAAGGAACTCAAAGTGAATTAAAGATCTAAAGGTAAAACTTACAACTCTAAAGATCATCAATGAGAAAGGGGAGATTTTAGGGGCTCAGATACATAGCATAAAGACAGTATCAAACATAACTGAAATCACACAAACAGCAAACGACCAAAAAGATGACTGGAACCTTCTAAAAACTAGACACTTATGTGCATCAAAAGATTTCACCAAAAGAATCCACAGACTGGGAATTTTTTTTTTTTTTTTGCAATGACATATCAGACACAAGACTACTCTCTAAACTTTATAGAGCACTTTAACACCTCAACAAGAAGACAGCCCGATTAAAAAATGGGCAGAGGACACGAACAGACACTTCACCAAAGATGACAGAAAGACAGTCCACAAACCTGAAGAAATGCTCACATCGTTAGCCATTGGTGGTGGTGGTTAAGTGTCGTTGAGTCGGTTCTGACTCATACCAATCCTGTCTAGGGTTTTCGAGGAACATCTGGTGGATTTGAACCATTTAGCTTTCGGTTAGCAGTCCAATGCTTATCCTACAGAGCCATTAGAGAAATGCAAATCAAAACAACTATGAGGTATTAATCTACCCCAGCATTAATGGTGGTGGTGGCTATGTGCCATGGAGTCAGTTCCAATTCATAGCGACCCTGTATAGGGTTTCCGAGTCCATAAATCTTTACGGTAGCAGAAAGCCTCATCTTTCTCCTGCAGAACTGCTGGTAGTTTCAAATTGCTGACCATGAGGTTAGCAACTAGACTCATAACCACTACGCGACCAGAGCTCCTTTCAGCATTAAAAGTATAATACAAAAAAAAAAAAAAACACCACCAGAAAACAACAAATACTGGTGAAGTTGTGGAGAATCTGAGACCCTCCTAACTGCTGGTGGGACTGTAAAATGGTGAAACCACTGTGGAAAATGGTATGGCGCATTTTCAAAAAGTTGAAAATAGAAATACTGTATGACTCAGAAATCTCTTAGTGGTTAAGTATCGTCACGTCGGATCTAACTCATAGCAACCCTGTATAGGATTTCCAAGTGGGTTTGAGCTGTCCACTTAGTGGTTAAAACAAACCTTGCAGTCCAGTGCTTATCCTACAGTGCCACACCAGCACTCCTGAAAGACATTATGCTGAGCGAAATTAGTCAATCACAAAAAGACAAATATTGTTATGAAATCAGTATTGTAAAAAGTCAAGCAAAGATTTTCATGCTGAAAGAAACATTCTATGATAAATACCAGGGATGGGAGGGAAGAGGGAGTAATTTACTGGCTAGAAGGTAGACATGTGCTAACTGAGGTGATAATGAAAGCAATTAAATATATATATATATATATATATATATATGTAGGAGTCTTGGTGTGGCGCTTTGGGTTAATGTGCTGGACTGCAAAGTCAGTTTGAACCACAAGGCTGGTAGTTGAAGCTTACCATCTACTCTTCAGAAACCATATACAATACTGAGCAAATAATACGAGAATCTGGGTTCTATGAAAAAAAAAATGTGGCATCAGGATTGGAGGAAGACTCATTAACAACCTGCGATGTGCAGATGATACAACCTTGCTTGCTGAAAACGAAGAGGACTTGAAACATTTATTGATGAAGATCAAAGAGCACAGCCTTCTGTGTGGATTGCATTGCAATGTAAAGAAAACAAAAAATCCTCACCACTGGACCAATAAGCAACATTCTTATCAATGGAGAAAAGATTGAAGTTGTCAAGAACTTCATTCTTCTTGGATCAACGACCAACATTCACGGAAGCAGCAGTCAAGAGATCAGACAACGTATTGCATTAGGCAAATCTGCTGCACAGGAACTTTTTAAAGTGTTGAAGAGCAAAGATGTCAGCTTGAGGACTAAGGTGTGCCTGACCCAAGCCATGGTATTTTCAATAACCTCATATGGATGCGAAAGCTGGACAGTGAATAAGGAAGATCATAGAAGAATTGATGCCTTTGAGTTGTGGTGTTGGAGGAGAATACTAAAAGTGTCATGGGCTGCCAAAAGAACCAATAGATCTGTGTTGGAAGAAGTGCAGCCAGAGTGCTCCTTGGAGGCCAAGAAGGCTAAACTTCGTCTCTCATACTTTGGACATATTGTCAGAAGGGAACAGTTTCTGGAGAAGGATATCATGCTGGGTAAGATGGAGGGTCGGAGAAAAAGAGGAAGATCCTCAACGAGATGGATCAACCAGGTAGCATCACTGATGGACTCAAGTGTGGCGGCGGTAGTGAGGTTGGCCCAGGATCAGACATTGTTTCGTTCTGCTGTGCATGGGGTCGCTATGAGTCGGTTCTGACTCGATGGCACCTAACAACAACAACAACAATATGGGTCGGAACCGACTTGATGGCAGCTAAGAACAGCAACAACAGTTTTTTCAAGTTTTCATAGACCCTTGGGACCATTATTTAAGTTAAGCCTGTGTAAATTTTTAACTTTGAGATTTTATTTTTAAAAATAGAGATTCTTTTTGTTAGTTTACGTGAAAAATGCATGAAAACATGAGACTTGTACTAGTAACAACGGTACTTTGAAAGGGTCAAAAAAAAAAAAAAATTCGCAACCCTTAATCAAGCTTCTGAGGCTGTAAATCTTTAAAGGAGCAGAAAGCCTCATGTTGTTCCCTCAGAGCCACTGTTGGATACAAACTGCTGGCCTGGCAGTTAGCAACCCAGCGCGTAATCCACTGTGCTACAAGGGCTCCTTTATAAACCCAAACACATACACAAAAGGCAGTCAATGTATTAACCGTATTAATAGTCTAAAGAAGAAAAAGTACATGATCATATCAACCAATGCAGAAAAATAATTTGGCAACGTGTTTTTAAAAAGAAAGGAAATGGAAAATAATTTTTCATGTTATCTGTTTTCTTACAAATTTACTCATGCAGATTTTGAATAATCACTTGATTTAAAATGAACAACAACAACCACATTCTATTCAAATTAATGGTAACCAGGAGGAGTCCTGGTGTAGTGCTGTAGGTAAGCACTTGACCATAAAGTCAATTTGATGGCACTTAAAAACAACAACAACAACATTTTTTAGGGACTTATTCTGCTGTGATGCTGTAGGATAAGCTCTGGACAGCTAACCACAATGTCAATGATTGAAACCCACCAGCTACCTTGGAGATTCTATGCAGAGTCACTCTGAGTAGGAACCCACTGGACAGCACTTAGCAATAAATCTTGAGGGAAGCAAATCACCAGGTATTTCTTCTGTGGCAACGCTGGGTGAGTTCCAACTGACAATGAAATAGTCAACCTAAAATTGAGTGATGAAGGTATCTTCTGCTTTTCAAACATTCGCTGTTTCAAATTTCACCTTTATGAAAGAGCTCTTTTAGGACCTGTTGTCGCCAACAGAAAGGCACAGAAAGAGGATTTTCGCTTCCATGAAAAAAGTGAAAAGCAAAACTAGTCTTCAGTGTTTGCTTTGCAGCAAACTCTTAAAGAGACAGGGTCACTCCAAGCATTGCCAAACTCCTTCCTCTGGCACTTCACTCAGCATTGCCCATCAAGCCGCCATTAATCTTTGAACTGTGTATGTGAACACTACGTTAGTGTTACTCTTAAATTTTTCCATACAAATTAATAATTCTTATTCACTTTATTCCATTTAGGCTTACGAAAGTTTTCATAAAGAACTGCTTAGTCTCACATATTTTGGATATGTTATTAGGAGAGGTCAGTCACTGGAGAAGGGCATCATGTTTGATAGAGTGGTCAGTGAAAAAAGTACACCACAAGCTGGATTGCCAGCTACTGTGGCTACAAAGGGCTCAAACATAACGAGGATGGCTCAAATTAGTAGTGCTTCCTTCTGTTGTACATAGATAGGGTCCCTGAGTAGAACCTACTCAATGACACCTAACCAGCTCTTGTACCATAGCAATAACGGTGGCCTTAACCAGAGAGGAATAAAACCAACTGACCTTCTCACCACGCAGCCCTTTTTGGAATAAAGAGAAAGGAAAAAGAGGTTTGTAACTATGACCACTCAAAAAAGGCAAAGTTGATAGTCTGAGATTAACTTGTTTTTTTTTTTTTAATGAGAAAACTGAATGGGAGACAGTCTACATATTCTCATTTCTTAAAAATGGGGCAGGAAGCGACCACTCCTTTATGTTAAATTGGTTAGATTACAGAAGACTAAACCAAGAAAGATGTCGTGCAACACCTCTGAAAACTGAAAATACATGTTGGGTAGAATTGTCATTTCCGTTTCTGAGCTTGAATGGGGGCGCATCAGCGGGGTCGCCGCGGGACACAGTCAAGAGTGCAAGGAGCCCAGGGCTGCCGGGTTGTGGGTTTTTCCCTAGTGCAGAGAAAGAGGTTGCGGCTTGTGCAGAGGGCAGTGAGCCCTGGCAGAGAGCAGGTGGCAAGAGGCGGCGGCGCGGATCTGAAGCTTCGGCTTCACACTGCCACCTCCAGCGTCCCAGCAGGCTTCTGGCGGCTCCACAAGCGGGCGGCGGGGGCGGTGAAGACGCTCGGGAATACCGTCAGCGCTCAGGGCGGGGCGGCCGCGAGTCGCGGGCAGATGACGCGCCGGCCGGCGGAGAAGCAGCCACTTCCTGGAGGCGCCGGCTGGGGCCGCTCGCTTCACTTAGCGCTGGAGCCGGGAGCCCGCGGCTGCCGCCATGTCCCACCAGACCGGCATCCAAGGTAACGACGGTCGGCGCGGCCCGCGGGGAAGGGGTTCCCGGGAGGCCTGGCAGATCCGGGCGGGTTGCGGGATGGGCAGGGCCTGACTTGGGCTCCCGGCACGGGGAATCGGTCCCGCGGGGAGAGCCGAGCTTCTACGTGTCTCCACACTCCCGTTTCCCGGTGCTCCCGGCCTCCGCCCGTCCCAGCCCCGACCCGAACGCCGCCACGTTGCAGACAGACCAGAAATTCAGAGGAATGAAAGAAATTGGGTCTCCGAAGCGGCGGGGTGAAGGGGCGTGCCCTCCACCGCCCCCGACGTTAGCCCAACTTTCCCCCTTTCCATCAGGTAGGGAAGGGCTGGACCAGTGGAGGCGACGTGGGCTCGTTTATGCTGTGGAGACAGGAGATTCATTTCACGATCAGAAAGACATTGTTACAGACTTTGAACTTGAAAAGAAAGATTCTAAAATCTTGTTCACGTCAGTAAGGGTACTTCCCAAACTCTTACGCACCCTCTTCCATAATAGGAACGTGAATTATATTATGAGAAACGCTGAGGGCTGGGTGTGCTTTGGTTTTTTTCCCAGACGAGCTGAAAGGTCTGATCTTTGTGACTGCACTTAATCATCCGTGCAGGCAGTCGAATTGTATCGGACCTCCATTATTTCCTGGTTTGAAAATGAGCAGTCTGCAAGAGCTGAGCTCATCATCAGAATAAAGTAATATATCCCGAGGTTACTGGAGATCACTTAACGAGAATATAAACCCAAGGTCTTACTTACCCGTTGGTGAGCATTTAATTGTGTGTTTTACAAAGGTCTTTGATATTACCCCTCACCATCCCAACGCACAAGCAAAACAGTCTAAACCTAAGAGCATTCTTTTTTTCATTCGTCTGTGCTAATTTTGACATCTAAATATATAATTATTGCCTTTCATGCTTAAACCTTATGGCAAACACTACTTAAATAATGCAATGTGGTTCTTGCTGTCAAAAAAAATAGCTCAAGAACGAAATTTGAAGCTTTGCAGTGTGCTTATTCGTAACTTTTTGAGAAATCCAAGGTAGTATAAATGATGCATGCAACTAGACTGTGAGGAGAGCTTCAAAAAGTTTGTGGGAAAATTCCAATATGTTTTAATTCCATGTTTTTAAGAACGTTTTAACGATGTTGTTGTTGGATGGAATGTATTTTATTGACTTTGTCTTTAACCCAGAGGATATCTGGCATTTGCTGTTGTTGTTAACGGGAATTTTTAGGGAAAAAAAATGTCGTTATAAAGGAGGTGTCTATCATAAGCTTACAATTGGACTAAAAAATGAAAGCAAGTCACATTGGCAAATGAACAAAACTGTTCTACATAGTTGTCATTTGTCTTTTATTGAATTTGAGTTACTTCAGTGTATTTACTCCAGTGTTTCTGTTGTGGAATACATATGTGGCTAAAGCATAATAGAACTAATATATTTTAAGTGTTATATTATTTAGCTCTATACAGTGTAACTGATGTTATGCTTTTAAGTGTTATCATTTAAATTACTGGTAATAAGAGTGTTCCAAGATTATTTTCTTTGTAGTCTATCCATTCCTTTCTCATTTTAAGTAGCAAAAGAAAGTATTAAGACATTAAATAGAATTTAAAAAGAAAAAGAAAAAAAAGGTTTACTTTTCTTTCTTTTTTCACAGCTAGTGAAGATGTTAAAGATATCTTTGCCAGAGCAAGAAATGGGAAATACAGACTTCTGAAAATATCTATTGAAAATGGTTAGTTGAACATTAAAAAATAATGCTTTTGCCTGGATTATTTGGTACCTTATTTTAGATTTGTAAATCTTTGTTAGTGGTTTGAACCATTAATTAATGTGAAGCAAGGTCACAGTTTGCTGTCTGTAAACTTACCAGCCTTTTAGGTAACTTGGGTCCTGTGCACTTTGGATGTTCCCATGGGTATTTGCTTGATTTCTGAATTCTGTGTAGCTGACTATCAGAGATACAGAAAGATGGTGTTTTTCAGTGTGGCATCTTCCTCTATTACTTTTGTGTCTCAGTTTCTGCACCGCAATTCATTTCAAATTAGTCAGTGCTTCTGTATCTGGATTGGAAGCTAGTAAAAAAAATAATAATAATAATAATAAGTTCCTTGCTAATTGTAATGCAATAAAGTTAGCTTTTATCTAGAAAGAATTTTTTTCAAACTCTCTCATTTTCTGCACCTGATTAAAATCCATGTTACAGATTACTTTTATATGTTGTTTTGGTGTCCTGGTGTTGCCATGTAAAATAAGCACTGGACGGCTAACCATAAGGTTGGCAGTTCAAACCTGTCAGCCGCTCCTTAGAAACCCTATACAGGGTTGCTATGAGTTGGAACCGACTCAATGGCATTTAACAACAATATATGTTGTGTTGGGAAAATTGTGAGGCTATAACAAACTACAGATTGATTCTCTTAAAAGTCTTTTTTCTATAAGCAATAAGATGGGTTGCAGAGGAGAGTCTTTTAATGCTAAAAACTTCAGGGAGATTTGAATAATATAGCTGCTTGGTCATAAATGAATATGTTAAAATATGCTATTTAGTTAAGTACCTTAAAATATTTTTGCCTTGGAAAAATAATTTGTTCTTTCATAAACTGGAAGTATATTTAATTTGCTTTCTAAATTTTGCTTATCCATTAGCAATATCAGGAATAGTTTATAAAGTAATACAATGTAAATATCATACATTTAAAAAAATGTATTTGTCATACAGAAATCTAAATTAAAAAGCATATTAAATACCCATTAAAATGAACTGTACTTTGTACTTTATCCATTTTTTAGCTAACTAACATCTTCAAGGAAGGAAGACACCACTATTTCCAAAACCGTTTTCTGTTTATATTGTTGTTGTTAAGTGCCGTCGAGTCGGTTCTGACCCATAGTGACCCTGAACAGGGTTTCCGAGGCTGCACATCTTTATAGGAGCAGAAAGCCTCATCTTTCTCTCTGTGGTAGTTTAGAACTGCTGACCTTGCGGTTCACTGCCCGATTAGTATCCACTATGCTACCAGAGCTCCTTTCTGTTTATATTAGCTGTTGGGAAAATTACAAAGACTAATACAACAAAAAATAATACAGCAAGTACTCATGTTGTTGCTAAGTGCCATCAAGTAATTCCAATTCATAGTGACCCTATATGGGGTGTCTGAGGAATTTCTAGTGAGTTTGAACTGCCAACCTTATGGTTCAAGGTTCAGCGCTGTACATACGTGTAATATTCTTTATGCAGAGTGTGTATTTTCAATTTTATTTACTTCCACCAAATAACTCTTCAAAGTGACTATATGAGTTGACACACATTTTTAATCAGTAGCATTATGGCCAAATATAGGAGCTAAGCCTGTTTTTATTTAATATTTGCTACTTGAAGTACTGGTATGGCTCTGTAGGGTAAACACTGGACTGCTAACCACAAAGTTGTTATTGTTGTTGTTAAGTGCCATTGAGTAGGTTCCGACCCATAGCGATCCTGTTTGTTGTTGTTATGTGCCGTGGAGTTGGTTCCAACTTACAGTGACCCTGCAAAGGGTTTCCAAGGCTGTAAATCTATACGGGAGCAGAAATCCTCATCTTTGTCCCACGGAACAACTGGTAGTTTCGAACTGCTGACCTTGCAGTTCACAGCTCGATTCGTAACCACTACGCTACCAGAGCTTCTTAGCGATCCTGTTTAGGGTGGTTCAAACCTACCAACCACTTCTGTGAAGTACCTTATATGGGGTCAATATGAGTCAGAACTGACTCGACAGCACTTAACAACAACTGTCCAACTCAGTAGCCTCGGTGTGGCACTGTAGGATAACCCTAGGCTGTTCATCGCCCAGTAGGCTGTTTAAACCCACTAGCCACTCCTTGGAAACCCTATATATAATCTATATGAGTTAGTTGTTAGTTAACAACAGGAACAACTCAATATTAATTTCAGAGATTACACTTTGGAGTGGTTGTTGTTGAGTGCTGATTCATAGCAGCCATCTATAGGGTTTCCAAGGAGCGGCTGGTGGGTTTGAACTGCCAACCTCTGGTTAACAGTTTAGTGCTTTTCCTGTAATGACAGAGCAGGAATCTGATATTAATTTCAGAAATTATACTTTTCAGTGGTTTGTTGTTGTTAGGTGTTGTCAAGGTGGTTCCAACTCATAGCGACTGTATATAGGATTTCCAATGAGTGGCTGGTGTGTTTGAATCTCTGACCTTGTGGTTAGCAGTGCAGTGCTTATCATAAAACACCACATTAGGATTCGTTGAGTGGTAGTTATTTATATAAATCAGTATTTTCTGTGTTGTTGCCTTTTTTCTGTCAACTCTTTGATAAGATTAATAATAATTAGCAGATAATTTATAGTTCTCTTCAACACATTGCCATTAGAGATTTCAAGCTATTTATGTATCTTTTTAAATATTATTCTTTGTAGAGCAACTTGTGATTGGATCATGTAGTCAACCTTCAGCTTCGTGGGAGAAGGATTATGATTCCTTTGTTCTCCCGTTACTAGAGGACAAACAGCCATGCTATATATTATTCAGGTTAGATTCTCAGAACGCCCAGGGATATGAATGGATATTCATTGCATGGTCTCCAGATCATTCTCATGTAAGTCCATTTTTATAGTTCATTTGTTGTTAAATGCTAGAAATAGAAAATGTTCCTTGGCCAAAAGAAGATTAAGAAGTAATAATCATTTCCCATAAAAAGGAACAATTATTGGTAAAAATAATCCTTTGATTGATTAATGTGGAATCAAGAGTAATATGCTAGAATTAGGAGTCTTGCCTTTGAAATTAAAAGTTACTGATTTTAAATATAAATTTATGTGGCAATTTTAAGTACTATGTTGTTGTTAAGTGCCATTGAGTTGGTTTCAAATCACAGCCATCTTGTATAGGGTTTCCAAGGAGAGGCTGGTGGGTTTGACTTGCCAACCTTATGATTAGCAGTCCAGTGCTTATCCTACAACACTACAACAGGACTCCTTAAATGACTATAGGCCTTAAAAAACAAAACAGAACAAAAACTAGCTATTTTGCTCTGAAAGTTACAAAAAAAAAACCCATAAAAATATGTTTATGATAAACGTTAATCATATCCAGTATTGTTGATATTCAACATTGCTCTTAATAGCTACCATTCAAGTAATGGGCATGCCACACAAGTCCCAGTGTAGAAAAGTTGGATAGCAGATTAACTAAATAAAACAAGTGAGGTGTGGTACTGCCAGGTAAGCACTGGACTGCGAACCACAAGGTCTGTGGAGTTGGCATTTCAAACCCACCAGCTGCTCTTTGGAAACCACAGGGTCACTGAGTCCGAACCCACTCGATGGCACATAACAACACAAACAGCCACAACCATTCAAGTAATGGACATACTACAGAAGTGTTTTTGTAGGAAAGTTGGGTAATAGATTGACTAAGTAAGACAAATGACTGTGTTAATAGAATAGGGTCCATTGTTTTAAAGGCTAGGTTTTGTTTGTTATAGAAAAGCAAAATAATTTTTAAAGTTATCTTGATTTCTTTTTCAAGGATGATCCCATTCACTTTAATTCCTTATATCCTGTCTGAAATACTGTATTTGCCTGTATAAGATTATAAAATTCTGTTGATTGGTAGTTACTCTTATTAGTTCTCTGTGGATGCTAAAGTAGACTCTTTAATAATGGTATCTTCTCATCTCTGGATCCCTTGTAAAATGCTGTGTGCCATAAGCACACTAAGAATATTTGATTCTTGGAACAAATTGATTAGTAATAATAGCTGGGTTTGCTTTGAGTAAAATGTCATCGCATCCAGGTTACTTCATTTCAAGGATTTTTCTTCCTTTTAAAGTAGTTTTTAAAATCTTGAACTCATTTTATACACTGAAAAATAAAGACATTTTTTAAAAAATTAGTATTTTCCCCTTTTTGAAAAAGCATGATTTATACTGTAAATTGAAATCTGCGTTGGTGACTATATGTAAAACTACTGAGATGCTTAATTTTTGCCTCAATAAACAGACATGTTTTAATATATTAGTGGGTTTTAACTTTTTACAGTTTATTTTTGTGTTTATGTGCTTGAAGACTTAAGTAAATTAAAAAATCCTTTTTTTAATAATGATATATTTTTATCTGTAAGATAAGTAAACTTTCATGATTACACGTTTAGGTTCGTCAAAAAATGTTGTATGCAGCCACAAGAGCAACTCTGAAAAAGGAGTTTGGAGGGGGCCATATTAAAGATGAAGTGTTTGGAACAGTAAAGGTATAAAACTTATTCATTTAGATTCTGTATGTTACAAATGAATATGTAACTCAATTTATTAATTTGTACATATTTTATATATTAAGTGATTCTAAAACATTAGACTTAGACCCTTAGATTATATTGGGATAGTCTTTGTTAATCCATAGATCATAGACTTCAAAAACTGAAACACACCTCTAAGATCATTTATTTCAACCCCTTCATCTAGCTTACAATTTTCATTTGAAGGATAGAGAGATAGACTTAGTGAGAAAAGCTGCTTCCAAGAAGCAGTACTTTTTCAGTATCTTGAACATTTATTCCCATATTCTAAAAGCAGTAACTATTACTTAAACCAAAACATTGAGGCAGGTAAATTAATGGATATATTTAATTAATTGATTAATTCACTGAGGTAATCAATTAAGATCAAATAAGTTAGGATTAAGAATTCCTGTTACAATAGCTATATGGTAAGTATATGTATTTATACTGTACATTCAAATTAAGAAATTGAAATATATTTTTAGAGCAGCTGCACATCTTCTAGAACTTTCATTCTGGTTCAGAAAGTAATGTAGTGTAGAGCAAGCACAAGACTTGATGGGAAAGCATTACTTGTTCCCTTGAATTGTGAATTGACTCACTTCTGAGCTTTGGTCTTCTAAACCACAAAATTATAGGCTCTTTGGAGTATTCTTTTTTCTTTGAATATAAGAACTATAATAATTGCTTATGAATAATTGTAGAAAAATTACATAAATCATTTTAGTGTAGCATTCATAATTTGAGTATGTTGCTTATTAAGTAATTATAGGACAGACTTTCCCTACAGGTTAATTACAGTTGTCCTGTAGACATGAAACCTGACCCAAGTTTGTTGAGTGCCTGATATCCCTATCATCAATTGCAGAAAAGATTTAGTCATTATAAACTTTAAGAAGTGAAGAGAGGAGGATACTCTTCATTGAAAGTTTTGAAACTTATAAAATTGGGAAGTTAAAGATAGGTAAGAAAAGAGAGTAAAATTCTTAAAGTTACAGTTGTATACTGTTTTATGTACCCTCACTGTGGTTTTACTTGTAGACAGTAACTGGTAACAGTCCATTTCTGTACTTATAGGAAGATGTATCACTACATGGATATAAAAAATATTTGGTATCACAGTCTTCTCCTGCCCCACTGACTGCAGCTGAAGAAGAATTACGACAGATTAAAATAAATGAGGTAAATTAAAGTTTTGCATACTTGGAAGATTATAAAGTGTTTTAAAATGCCATTATGTTAATAAGTAACTAGAGAATAAAGGAGTGAAGAAGCATACGTTTATTCTGCTTAGTTTAGAAACAAGACCATTTCATGTGTTTGCAGGGAATAAAAGTAAAAAGTATTAAACTTCATATCCATTTCATAAATAGCTTTCTCCTCTCTTTATTATGTCCTTTTCAGAATAGTAAATGTTCCATTTTGGAGGTCAGTTGTTTTTAAGTTTATATTTTGAATAAATGGGGAAAGTGTTACCCATTTGATAAAAAAAATATTATATCTAATAATTTTGAGTTATTTGAAGCTGGATATTTAGTTTCAAAGTTCATGTGATGGCTGACTAAAGAGTACAAATGCTGTATAGGATGTTAAAGAGCTTTAGGTCTAGAATTAGTTTTAAGAAACACTACTTAGATGGAAGAAATACACATGGAATGATTATTTAAGTATTTATTGATCATGTTAGAGTCAATAAATTTGAGCCATATTTTAGTTTATCATATTTTCCAAGATTATGAGTCAGAATAGCAGCTGTATTTCTACTGAGATTTTACAGAAAAGAACAAGGAAATCAATCTAAAAAGTGGAAATTTTTTAATAACTTGGCAGCAAGGATCTATCATATTATTCTAACTCAAGTTATTTGAATAGGACTTTTTACAGATATTTTTACAAGTTTGATAGTTTGTTTTATTCTTTGCAATCAGAACCCAGAGGATCATATTGGGGTATGCATTTGCATAATATTCTATGATGTTTCATTATCCAGAATCATTTATGCTGTAGAATCTCCATTCATTATTTTTTTCAAATTAAAATTTCGATTTAACTTTTCTGTTGCAACCCTGCAAATGAGACCCTGTACTAGCTATCATTTATCAAATGTATACCAATCTTAAACTTGTATGTTGAAAGCTTTCTTGAAGTATCCTTCCCCTTCCAGTACATGTGTACCTATGTCCTTAGTAAAGAAAGCTCTATGTCTGGAACTTCTGCAGTAGTAGAACTTGTTGAGCTGTATTGTGTCTTTTGTATATTGTTTGTACTCCTTTCAATTTATTGCATGGTGTTTGTGTTGCATTTATGTCCGAAAAACAAAGTAAAGCTTTATACAACATTGTATGTTATACCCCACTGTTGATAATTTTTTTTAATCAAGTGACGTTTTACAATTTATGTAATTTGATAACACTGTCAAGCACTTACGTTTCTCACTGAAATTTTACTAAAAGAAACCATGTAAGTAAACAAAACCAAGCCCTACTACCACTGCACATTCATTTAAGCCTTCACTCTGAACATTTTCATGAAGGTGTGTCATGCACTCTGCATGTTGACAAAGTGCTAATAGGACCAAGTTCATCATGTTTTAAGTTCTTTTAATTATAAGTTGGTCAAGCACTAAATGAAGTTTACTTAATATAAATTGGGTTTTTTTTAATGTCTTTGTCATGTGTCTCTATTAAATGCTGAAACCATACCAGTAAATTAAATATCCTATCCTATTCAGGTTCAGACTGATGTAAGTGTGGACACTAAGCATCAGACACTACAAGGAGTTGCATTTCCTATTTCTCAAGAAGCTTTTCAGGCTTTGGAAAAATTAAGTAACAGACAGCTCAACTATGTGCAGTTGGTAAGAGATATGTAATGATTATTCTGAAATAATAGTTCTCTCAGAAACTCTGTACAGAGTGGCTATGTGTCGGAACTGACTCAATGGCACTTTAGCAACAACAATGTTTTTCCTATGTGGCTGTGTAAGGTTTATTTTTAATTCTTTTTTATTATTATTTTTAATTATGAAGGAAATATGTATTTTTCATGAAAAGTCATGTTATACATAACTGTGTGAGTTCTTCTTACCCTTGTCTTTTCCACAGTTTTAAAATGAATTCTGTGTCTCTGTTTTAATGAATATTTTCTCTCTTACCTGACAGGAAATAGATATAAAGAATGAAATTATAATTTTGGCCAACACTACAAATACAGAACTGAAAGATTTGCCAAAGAGGATTCCCAAGGATTCAGCACGTTATCATTTCTTTCTGTATAAGCATTCCCACGAAGGAGACTATTTGGAGTCCATAGGTTTGTGATACATTGTTTGTAACATGCTACTTTCTATTTGTGTGTTTGCATTTCAGCACTATATTCTTACTGATTTCTTGCCCAGACAACTTGATAGTTGTTGTAATTGATACGTTGCTAATAATATTTATTATTTTAATTTGCAGTGTTTATTTATTCAATGCCTGGGTACACGTGCAGTATAAGAGAGCGGATGCTGTACTCTAGCTGCAAGAGTCCTCTGCTAGAGATTGTAGAAAGGCAACTACAAATGGATGTAATCAGAAAGGTAGACTCATCTGTTTATTTGAGAAATGTGTTTGTGCTAGGTTTTTCTATATCCAAAATTTCTATAGACTTTCTGTCATCTTAAAACTAACTAACAACATTTGAAGTACTGAGCCCTTTAAGCTTTGCGCAGATGTTGTTACGTGCCATTGAGTTGATTTCAATCATAGTGACCCTGTATACAGTTTCCAGAAGTCCTGGTGTGTGGTGCGATAGGATAAGCACTGGTTGATTTAAACCACAAGGTGGATAGTTCAAACCTACCATTCACTCCTCAGAAACCCTTTACAGGGTCACTGTCAGCCAGAACTGACTTGAGGACACTTAACAACAATTGGGCTTCCAAGGCTGTACATCTTTATTGAAACAGAGAAAACCTCATTCTTTCTCTCGCTGGGCACCTGGTATGTTTGAACTGCCTGCTGACTTTTTGGTTAGGAGCTGAGCACTTTAACCACGGCACCACTAGAGTTTATTTCTTGATTATGTAACCAATTACAAAAATGGTGTGTTGAGGGCATCTGACTACCTTCTACTTCATGAGGAGGGTGAGAAGCACCATCCACAACAGCCCAGTGCTGATTGCTATGAAGCAGAGGTCAAACTTACCTCCACCCTCCTACCTTTTTACATCAGCCGTTCCTCCTACAGTAAGCTCTGCTTCCCTACTGGGTTTGATAATTCATTGCAGTGAACACATCCAAGATTATGGGTTTTATTAGGGAGTTGTTGTTGTTAGGTGCCATCGAGTCGGTACCGACTCATAGCGACCTTATGCACAGCAGAAGGAAATGCTTGCCCGATTCTGGGCCAACCTCACTACTGTTGTCATGCTTGAGTCTATTAGGGAGTAACAGGGTACAATTCAGAATCAGGAATGACTCCGGATATAGTTCTTCAGTAAGGACAGCTTTGTCTTAGTCACTGCACTGCTTAGGCAAGCATTACAAACGTTAACTCCACCAATAAGTGCCCAGGGAGACCCCATTCCACCTGTAAGTGTTGACCTGAAGATGCTCAACTCTCTCTTGTTCCCTCCTCCTAGTGCCCAGAGGTACCTCACTGCCAGTAAGCCTCCTCTCGCTCTGTGGATCAGAACACCCACTGTAGCCACTTTGTTCCATCTTGTGCTGGTATCCTGGTTCTTGCTGCTGTTGCTTTTCTGCTGCCCTTTCTCACCATCTCATGCCTTCTCCATTGCTTTAGTTCTATCTTGGTTCGCTGGGTCTAGGAGGTTCGCAGGACTAGGACCCTGGGTTCAAAGAGCATGCTCCACTCCTGGGTTCTCCTGGTGGTAATGATGTCTACTCTATTTCTGGAATGGCTCATTTTAAGCTTCGCAGGAAAACAAAACTGACAAATCCCGTTTCTATGCATCTGTTTGCATTGTTAACAATCTGTCTAATACTATTGGTGGGCTACAAGCACCTTATTTGTTCAGTTCCACCCAATCTTTTGGGGAGAAAGATGAGGTTTTCTGCTCCTGAAAAAGATTTATAGCCTCTGAAATCCTACGCAGGGTTGTTATGAATCCGAACTGATTCCACGGGACCACCACCACCACCAACAATCCAATCCAATCTTTGCTGGGAATTAACAAGACCATGGCTAGAAAGGCCATGTATCAGTTGCACTGCAATAAATAACTTGAAAATATAGAGATGCCTTTTATTTGTAAACATTATTTAACTGAAGTGGTAAGAAGAAATGGTTGTAGCTTATTATCTATTAAAGCATTAAGATATAATAATAATAATAAATATCTATTTTTGAGGGATGTAGCCCCTGTCCTTCAAAAATAAAGAAAATGAAATTGTTTATCTGTGATGCTGATTTTCTCTTGCCAGAATGGGTATTTTGTATTTACTTATGAGCATTTATACTTATTTTGGAGTCCTAGTGTGGTGCTGTAGGATTAGCACTGGACTATTAATTGCAAGGAGTCCTGGTGTGGCACTGTGGGCTAATGCGTCAGACTGCAAGTTGTTTGAACTGCAAGGTTGGTGGTTCAAGCTTACCAGCTGCTCCTTGAAAACCCTATACAGGGTCACTATGGGTCGGAATCGACTCGACGGCACTTAGCAACATTAATTGCAAGTTCGGTGGTTCAAGCTTACCAGCTGCTCCTTGGAAACCCTATACAGGGTCACTTTGGGTCGGAATCGACTCGATGGCACTTAACAACATTAATTGCAAGGTCGGTGGTTCAAACCCACTAGCTCCTCCTAGGCAGCCCTATACACTTATCTCACATCTGAAAACTGAATTGTTGCCTATATTAAGTTTTGACTATGTATTGTGTTACATTATTTATCTCATCTTTTACAGATTGAGATCGATAATGGGGATGACTT